CAATCAATGAAAAATTCTTAAAGGAAGTGTAAGCAATCAAAAACCAAACAAATTCTTTTAGAAAACCGGAATCATTTATATAGGGTATGATCAAGTATATTCTACCACGATTATTGCAGACATCAAAGAAATGCCGCGAACATATTATTCTCCAATAAATCACGAACGTCATCAAAAAATTATCAGATCAGAAACACGTATCAAACCTGTACAGTTGAAATAAATATTTGACTCTAAAATGAAATACTTGTTTAGACCACATCGATGTGTCGTCTTTTGCAGTCTGTACACTGTAAATTGCATCAAGTTGCTGATGAATGTCGGTTTTTAAAGCCAAGCGAGGCTATTCCACGGACCTCCCTACACATTTAAACACCAATAAAGCAGTTAAACAGGAACATGATTTTGTTATTGTATATTCATTAAAATTAATCAATGCATATAACAAACAAATTTGAAATTAAAAAGGCTATATTTAATGCAACGAAAGCTCAAATTGTCTCGTTTCATACACAGACCTGTAAGCAAACAAATTTTCCCTCTGGTGTTAAATGGAACATCGTAATCGAGACATGCTGACCTATTTCGTTTCTCTATAGAGGAAACGATCAAGCGTATTTTAGCGATCTTCATGATCTTTGGAGAATAGAAATAAAGTCCCTGTTGTCGTGAATGTTGCAGGATAACCTCCTCGGTCTCGAAATTGTTTGAAATATAAAAGCCTCGAGCTCAGCTAACGCCTCGGCTTTTATCTTTCAAACAACATTTCTCGACCTCGGATGTTATCCTGCAACACTCGCAAAAACGCGAACTTTATTTCTTAAATAATTTATACTCACAACTTCAGCAAAAGACCTTTTCTCCATACAGAGCACATCTGTCTTAGACAATAGCAATGGTTTCCTAGAAACCTGCTTATCCTCTAAACAACTGTCATCTTTGCTTTCTTGTGCATTTTTGCTTTGTACGAAATAATAGACATGAAATAAACAAAAAATTAACTATTCGTCAAGTACATTATTTCAACCTCAAATGAAATTATGTGTTTGAAGTACGGGAAACTTTGTGGTTTTTTTTTTAGATTTACATGTATAACTTACAGTCTGCAGGAATTATGCATTTGACATTACATTTATTTATTTATTTTTAATGCAAAATACACATACATGTATAATCATTAATCAACAAGAGATGTTTGTAAAACACTTGTGCCCCCTCCCCCGAATAAATAAAAATTTTCCAAGTCCAAGGGACATAACTCTGTCAAAAAGGGCTCGATTATACCCAAAACAGAACTTGACCTAGATATTTCTCTGATTAATCTGTATTTCAAATTTCATTTCATTATGCACAACCTTTGAAAAAAGAAGAACGGAAAATACAAATAATTGGAAATTTTCTAAGTCCAAGAGGCATAATTTGTCAAAAATGGCTCGGTCATACCCAAAGCAAAACTTGACCTAGATATTCCTCTGATTAATATGTATACCGAATTTCATTTTATTATGTGCAATCTCTCTGAAGAAAATAAACGGAAACTGCATATAACTGGAAATTTTCTAAGTCTGAGGGGCATAACTTTGACAAAAAAAAAGGATCGTTCGTGCCCAAAACAAAACTTGCCTTATTTATTTTATGATAAATCTGTATACCAAATTTCAATTTAATATGTGCAACATCTGCAAAGAAAATGAAGGGAAACTGATGGTGGACCAACAAACCAACAGACAGATCGACCGACGAACAGCAGCAAAGCAATATGCCTTGCCTTCTTCAAAGGGAGTGGGGCATAAATATTTCATTACAGTATAGATGTAACCCTTGTCTAATAAATGAATCATTACATGAAGGTAGGTATTTTTTTGTGTGTGTGGTAAGAAATATATTTCAACGTTCTTCGAATAAATAATAGAAGTTACTTTACTGAGAGAAGTTTAGAGAGAAAAGGAAACCATAAAGTTTTATATTTAGAAAATAGATAAATTCACATTTACCATTTTTCTGCACAGTTTATGCTTGTTGGAACTATCCATGCAAACATCAACAAAACTTGTCGATGGTTTTATCTCTGATTCATGTCAGTCATTAATGTGGTTTTATTTTGGCGATTGTTTAAAAGTGATATATTTTAAAAACCTCCCAAACCACAACTCAAGTTGAATGGGAATCACAATAGCTTTTATAGAAAAGAAGAGTGAAATGTCATATAAGTTGTTGTTTTTTTTATTTCATCATTTTGAATCTTGAAATTGCCATGTCTAAGCATTGTAAGGGATACAATGCTTTTAATTTCATGCACTTTTATATGTATAAGAATGTTCCTTTAAAAGCATACATGTAGTTTATTTTCAAGCTTATTTCAACATATGCACTATAATGTAGTATGGAGCAGCTGAGTTTCACAATTTTTTTAAAACCAATTTTTGTGTAATTGTGTTTAGTAGACAATATTTAACTCTTTTGACAGTAGGCATATGTATTAATATGTTGTTACCAAAATTTTTAGTCAGCTGTTCTGCTACATGGAATTGACTGGTTAATTTCCTTTCCAAAGGTGCTGTCAGTAGACATTTCGCTATATACAGTATTTCCATTTTTTTTTGTAAAATTGAAAATTATGAATCTCTTGTCCTGGCTGAACTGATTTTATTGTCTATATTCATTTTCTTTAAATTGATATTTTATATTGATCCACTTAAGAATTTTTTTTTTATTTATCTTTGTCCATTTCATAACAATCAGATGTGAAATTTGATACTTATTTATATGGTATATAATATATATGGAATTGAAAAGTTACAAGTTACCCTTCTTTTTTTTCAAAGAAAAGATTTATACGTGGTAGTACTTTTTAACCAAAATGACCCCAGAATATGTTTTGTGATTCATAATATAATCCACAGAATATACCTACAGGAATGTAGATTGTATGAAGGAAAAGTTCTTATATTTTGAGTCTCATAAACTTTATATACCAGGCATTTTCAATAAGTCTCATCTCTATTTTTATTTTATTTTTTTTTTGTATCTGGTGTACATGCAGTGAGTGTATAAATGATACTTGCTTTAAATTCTGTAAGTTTACTTCCAGTGTTTTGATGTTGTTTGTATGTATTGATTGAATGAGTTAAACATATAGATCTGTCTTACCATGGATGAGATTTATGAAGTTTTGAAACATTTTACCATTTGCTTTTGTAAGTTGTGAAGAAATGTAACCCAAGAAGTTTTATTCTTGTTAAACAATACAGATAGTCTAATTTAGGTTGTGAACAGCATGCAAAACAGTAGCAATGTTGAGATTTTTTTTAAGATAAAAAAAAATGTTTGAGGAATATATTGTACATTGTATGGATTTGCACAAACCATTTTTACCTTGATACATATTCCTTTTTCATTTTGATTAATGATGTGTTTATATTGGAAGACAATTTGGGGAAAAAGTACAAATTTAAAGCTGCTACACAAATTACAATTTTTTCTGCTTGTTTATTTTTTTATTACAAGTAAGTCATGTAATGGCAGGCTTTATCCATTTGTTTTCATAACACATTTTCAAAACAGAAAATCCCATCCTTGGCTATTTGAAGAACACTTGTGAACTCTTTTGGAAAGGGGAATCTCATAAGAAAAAGAAGGGGGCTAGAAACAGAAATAAACATATTTTACTTACTTATTTAGCCGGTTAGAGGGTAACAAAAAAAACCCACCTAGAACTAAGATATTAAAATTGTTTATAATGAGTGCAATATCTAAGTTAAAGTAACATAACACTACAAGAAAGTTATTGAATTATTACATTGAATTTTATCCTGAATATTTTTGTCCATCCCAATTTTCAGCTCAGAATAAATAGAGTTTTCTTAGTTTTTAACAAGCTGCCTAAAAGCATGGTTCATGATAAAGCTGTTCACAAAGACTCAGTATTAAGTAATTATTGTGTTAGCTTTTACCGATAAGCTGCTTCTAGTCTGCCCATATTTAGTTACTGTTCTTGCTTCTTGTGCTGTCTTACTCGTGCCTTATTTGTTATTTGGTGTAGGTATGTTTTAAAATTTTCATTTTTTTTTATGTTTCATGGCATTAATCATGCTTAGACTGCTCTTAATTATTTTCTCACCCAAAGAATCAATTTCATAAATAATGGGATAGACATATAGCTTTTTTGTGCATTACATGAATATAAAAAAAGAAGAAAAGCCTTTAATACAATAATTTTTTATCACAAGCTTACTTGACAGCTAAAATTGTACAGTGTTTTATAGTTAGCATTTCGCACATCATGTCAGATGTGGAATCAGTAGATCTATTTTATTGCTGCTTACGTTCATCCCGTGCCTCTTTCCCATGTATCGGTATAATGACTGAAGACTAGGGTACATAGTTCCTCAATAAGTTCTTAAAGATCTGCTTTAAGTCAGTGTATTTATAAATAAGATTTTTATATGGTTTGTCATAATTGAAGATGTTGAGTGTAAGAAATCATTCATTTATTTAAAATTGTTGCCATAATTGTTCTGATTTACCATTATAAAAGCAGTGTTGTACTCCAGAGTGAAAGCTGTCGCACAAAGAGTTTCTCTATACATGTACTTTAGGAAGCGCAATCGCTTTGGCATATCAATTACTGACATATGATTACTTCCTTCCTATGAAAATATTCTAGGGTACATATATGTTGGAGTGTCTGAAGGCTAGTCCATTTTAAATGTGCACTTTTTGATCTAATAATAAAGATTTTGAGAGTTTTGTTTGATACAAAAGACAATGTTTATGAATCTTCTTTTGATACCGGAAAAGAAACTTGGATATGAAGAATTTTTTAAAATATTTATCATATCAATCACTCAATTATTTGGCCTGCATTTGTTTTCTTTTTTCATGGTTTATTCTTTATTTTTCTATGTATATTTATCTTTCAATTTTTTTTTTACATATATAAGAAGTGCACCATATGTCTCGAACATAGTTCAGAGTTTTGTTGAGCAAATCGTTAAGTGTTTTTCAATAATGTTGACATAGGTACAATTTGTTACTGCTTATTACACTGAAATGTAGTGTGCTTTCATCATGACATGAGATTGTAAATCAGTGTTGACCAAAGTGAAGACTATGTTATCTCAGTGTCATGTCAGTAGCATGTCAGTAGCACTTCAGTAGCACGTCAGTATCAAATCAGTAGCATGTCAGTATCAAATCAGTGATGTGAAAGAGCTTTTTTTTTTAAATCTATAGTTTGAGACTATCACTATTTTATAGATGTCTTACTAATGTTAGTGAGATTATGTTAGATCTACTATTGTTGTATATTTCTTTTTACCAAATACTAGAATATTTATTTTTAGTAATTGTTACATTGTACTGGAATATCTTTTGAATGTGAAAAGTACATGTAATATGTTTGTTCATAGCATAATTATTTTTCTCAAAGGGACATGAACACAATAAAGCCAATATTCATAAAGTGATTGTTATCCTTTTTTTGAAAAAAAAAATGCTGGCCGGTGTTCCTGATTGACAATATCCACATTTATTTAATATAGTTTTTTCAGAGCGAGTCTTCCATCAATCTATTGGAATTTCGATGGGCATTTACTGTGTTCCTTATAAGCTTATTTTTTGTATTCTTATGAATCAGAATTAATCAGAAACCTGTACGACCAATTTTCCGACTGAGGCAAGCGCTGCAAGCGATGACCTATTAGAACAAATGTTTCAAAAACTGGAGGAGTATTGCATTTGTACAGCCAATTTGTGCCAATATTCACAAATAAATGTCCAACAACCCAATAATATTCAATATTATATAAGACGATTATTTTCGTTATTTTCATTGGCTGAAAGAACGTCACGTGATATTTCTCCTTTTATGCAAGGGACATGCATATTTCTATGCATGAAATGGAAATTATAATAATGACGTCTTTAGTTAACAAGTCTCTGTTTTCTTTTGATTTTTGAAATTTATAAATGTTTATATATAATAATAGCCGTATCAGATTTTAATATAATATCTAAGCAAGCTGTTACTATGTAATCAACCCATATAATACATATAAAAAGCTTTTAAGTTAGAAGTAACAGCAATTTTTTACATTTATTGTTGTTATTCTTATCTGGGTTTACAAAAAAAATATCCCGTGTGAAAGGTAAGTCCATGATTACACCATCAAGTCCTAAGAAATAGTAATAATCAAATATGGGCCTAATAGCATCTTTATGTCTGAATTATCGAGTTCTTATATAATAAATGACTTCAAACTCGTCTTGTTAATATAATGAACACCATGGCTGGAATCAGGTGCCTTGGAGGAATTACATCTCCTTCGACATTACACCGGTCACATCCGTTGTGAGCTCTTAATATGTATCAGGTAAATGGAATACCCCTAATAAAATTTATTTTTAAATTGATCGTTTTTATAACATGTGCTCTTGCTTTTCGATAGCTGAAGCAGCTCTGCTTTATCCGTCCGAATTTTCTCAAGCAGAGAGCTACAGTTCTGCAGCTAGCCTTTGGATAAACACCCTGTGGTATTTGATTATTGCTTCATATACGAGGGATAAACCTGCATGCAGGGTTTATACCCCAGCTGATTCGATACGCAAGAGTTTGCTAGATCAAATACTTAATAATAATTTCTAAAACGAGGTAAGTTGTTGACAAACAAGTTGATGAAACAGCAACGTCAGCAGTTTGGTGTAATCATTTTGTAAGTTCTATGTTCGATTGATCATTCAATATCTTTTCAGCTAATACAATCTATATTATTCAGTCAAATGCTGACTGACGTTTTTCATACGTATTGTTAGGCCATTATTTACACACTGATTTTCCATTATTTCCCGATCATGTCAAGGATCACACCGCGTGTGTAAGCGGTCTGACGGCAGGGGATTCACACTCTTCCATGTCACCTGGTTCCGACCATGATATTTTAGAGGTCCGTATAAAAAAGTTATAACCTTTATTTTGCACATTCTTAACTGTTCAGTTCTATTTTGTAATTGTCAGTATGAGTACCACTACTGATAGGACCTATTCTTTGCTTGTGTCTCTGATGCTGTTGTTTTATACACGGTGTGAGAAAGTATCACCCAGACCAGGACTGAAAACATTCCGGGAGGATTACAAGAGTGTGGCAGAGACTTGTCGTTCTGTTGGATTTGTCAGAAAAGATTGTAAAGGTAATGTAAGTTTGGAAATTTTTGGACCATCTAAATTTAAACGAGATCATTTTAAAAAAGATTCAAACATTATTTTGTCCCAAGTTTGAAGTTGCACGTCGTAGCCACATGCACTAAACGTTTTTAACCTTTCTTTTCGTAAATAAAAGAATTCAACATTCATTGATTGGTTACAATATTACTAGTATCACAGTATGGGATTCTTTCATTAATGAAAAGAAAGGTTAATAGCCTAATTATGATGATACAAACACAAGTCAAAAATCTTCGGTTAAAAGAATCAAAAAAATTTATCACGAACAGAATATTTCAAAACGTAATGATACTGACTCTAAATCCCTGCACATGTGTCCAGTCATCGTCGCAAACCACGGCCAAAATGTACGCTCCTCTCCCATCTGTAGGAGAGAGCTATATATGCGGACTCCGGACCGTGGCTTGAAACGATGGTGTCCAGTGTACTCCAATGTTTGATCGTTAAAGAAAACAAATACATGAATGACTAAAGGTTTGTGTTATGAAATCTAGTGAGAAGGGGTTGTAGTTATCATCATGTTTTATTTTTTAAATACAGAACAAGCGAAAAATGCGGATAAACAGATGGTTGCCTTTGACGTCAGATTAAAGAACCATAAACGAAATCTTGCGAAAAAAATCAAAGGTAGTGTTCGAAACGGTTGACTTGAACGAAGGACAAGGATACAGCGCCTCTACTGGTATCTTTACCGCGCCCTATGGAGGACTGTACGTGTTTGACTGGACTACTCTTGCCTGGGAAGGCCAGTATGCATACACAGCTCTCGCCGTAAATGGCTCCTTCAAGTCTTGGAATCATTGTTATGAAGTAAAATCGAAAACATGGCTTTCTTGTAGCAAGATGACGGTTGTAAGGCTTAATCAAGGTGATAAGGTTTGGATTGGGGTCTTCAGCGGATCAGCAGACATGTATAATCAATATACTTCTTTTTCTGGCTATAAATTATAAATCACTGTTGAGCTGAGAAAAAAAATTAGGACTGAATAAAATATTATTATATCTATACTTTAGTCATTTTCCTTTCTTGTCATTAAAACAAAAAGAAGAAATTTCATAGACCTATAATCTCCATCGTGACATTTCTATACCAAAGTATTATTTTTTGTAAACAGTCATTTTTTCCTTTCAATAATTCTAAAAGGAATTCTAAGCCTTTATCTTTTATAAACCCCAATCTTTTTGTAAGTTGAAAACAAAAGTTGAGACAAAGGGCTATGATAAAAGTTATTGTTCTTATAATTGAATTGATGCGTGCATATGTGCGTGTAAAGAAATACATGCAAGAGAACTTAATAATCTGAAAATGGTTTTTTAGGGTCTTGTTGACAATTATAAACAGTACAATAAACAAACATAATACCTATGAAGTTTATGTAGTTCAGTTCTTTCAACCTTTTTATTTGGAAAAAATAATCACAAATTAATGACCAGTGAAAACATGAGAAAAAAATCGTAAAAATGTTTAAAACGAATCACACAACAAACTAAAATATACCAGTAGATTTAATGATAAGCTAATACCGATTAAGATTTAATGTTGAACTTTATTCGAACATTCAAACATTGTCCAGCAGATGTTTAGAACAATTCAAAAAAAAAATCACACAAAATTTACTGTCAATATTATAGATGTTATTACATGATCAAGAAAAACCTGTAGTTTGGTAAGTGAAAGTAGATCAGTTTCTAAATCGATAATAAAAAATCAAAATAAATTTAATAATTTTAATAAATGTAAAAAATTACTCTGTAATAGTTTATCAAAGTCCAAAATGATGCCTGCATGCTTTCAAAATCTGCTCATTGTCAGACACATTAACAATCATACATAGTATGAAATGAATAATAATTATATATACATAGTATATAAATAAATATATATGCAAAATATATACATAGTATAGGATTTAAAAAATATGAACAAATATATAGGTGGTATATAATAGTAAATTAAAATATATACATAAAGTATATATGTGCATTTTCAAAATCATACATTGTATGCTATAGATGTGTACACGTCAACATGTACATAAACTGCAGAAATTCTCTGTCTACAAAGTCAGCTTTGCAAATAAACGAACAAGTCGATCTAACATTCCATCATCACTACTGGAAGTTTTTGTCCGTTTAGAAGACTTATCCGGGCCTTCCCGTCTCCCTCTTTTTCTAGAAATCTGTTTCAAAAAAACAAAAGAACAATCAATAAAATATGAATAAATATATGTAATAGTAAAGACAAGTTTTACTGAATGGAAAATGAAACAATTTATCGGTTATTGAAAACAGATTTTATAATATACAGAAATAATTCGTCATAGAGATTCTAATTACATAAATTTGATTAATATCGCGAAAAAATGTCAATACATGTATTTATATGGTGACATATTTAGTTGTTTTTTTTTGAGAAACTGAGAAATTTGATAATATTCGATCAATATAATACACCAAATTTTACATCAGGCGAATTATCACCTACCGACTTGCTAACACGTTTCCTCTTGTCAACAGAGGAGGACTTTTGTGTCCAACCACACAAATGGTCAACAGACGAGGATTTTTCTGTGCCAACAGTAGAGGACTTTTCTATCCCAGCAGAGCTGGGATCTGAAAATGCTGTAGTGACCTGTACAAAATAAATCAGATAATAACTAAATGAAATTAGGTTATTCATCACATTGAAGCACTAACAGTATACGGAGTATAATGAAAACTAAGCCTTTCGTCTATCATATCCCCATTTCAATCAGTGAAAAGTTCTTGAAGGAAGCTTAAGCAATCAAAAACTAAACAAATTCTTTTAGAATACTGGAATCATTTGTATATAAGGTATGATAAAGTATAATAATTTATACTCACAACCTTAGCAATAGACTTTTTCTCCACATTTAGCCCGTCTGTCTTAGACGATAGCAATGGTTTTCCAGAAACCAGCTTATCCTCTAAACAACTGTCATCTTTGCTTTCTTGTGCATTTTTGCTCTGTACGAAATAACAGACATTACATAAACAAGAATTTAACTCTTACATCATTATTCCAACCTCAAATG